GTATTTTTAATCCTATACCATTTGCCGTGTCTTTGTTTTTGTAATTGTCGAAGCCTTGTAGTTGTTGAAAATTGTAACACTAACTGCAGAGTCAGCATGCTGAGTAAGATCAATGCTAAACTGAGTGATTAGAAAACAAATAGCCCAAAAACGAAACTAATACTAATACTAATACTATAGCGAATCGATATAGTGTATCGATTCCTGTTCATAAGTCTATGTAATAATAATAATAGTTTAACTTACTTTAAGCATAATAAATAACATAACTTGCCGCACTGAGTGATTAGTAAACAAATAGCCCAAACATGAAACTATATCGATTCATTTAAATACTGCCTTAATATGTCATATGTCGATGTAATAATAATAATATAGTTTAACTTACTTTAAGCATAATAAATAACATAACTTATAACACTGAGTCAGAGTATGACTTCAAACCGCAAAGTAAAGTATATGTGTCTTCATCATTCGATTAAATTTAAAAGGTTGTCTGATAAAAGTCGGTAGAAAACAGTGTAACATTGGAGTTCCCACCTACGAGTGGTGGCTGAGAGGTGGCGCGGTGTATGCAGAGTATGATAATGTCAGCCTTGCCGCGGACGCGATAATTCAGACGCGTATTGTCAGGCTTGGACACTTTCCTTATAAGTCTATGAGTAAGCTTACCAATTTTTGTTGCAATTGGAGGTCGGGAAGGATACTCAATATCTATTTGTTTGAAGAAAATTGTGCTGGCTGAAATTTGCTCTAACCAGAGCCCTTTCGCTTGCAGTAGCTATTCTACTTGTGAAACAAGCGCGTCACGCAGTACGCGTAGACACATGGCTATGTGAAGCCGAAATTAGCGCTTGAAAATCATCTTACAGTCGGCACGCGCGGCTCACTGTCAATGGCGCACTACCTACAAGTAGCGCGCCGCACAGGAGGGCCTAAGTGCAAAGAAACTGCTGCTAACTGCTGCTCACTGCTTGTAGCGCGATGCGTTATACTGTGCCGCGCCGCGCACTCAATGAGGCTTCTCACAGCGACTGTGCCTCGCCGAGCTGCGATGAATTGACATCGTCAATTAACTCACTGCTGCTGTCGCGCGCCCGCCCTGAGCAGCAGTGAGTAGCAGTTTGTCTGTTAGTGTTACTGCTACTGTGCTACTAGTGATTAACGGATGATAATCGTTCCAAATATTAGACCGTCGACGAGTCCAACTCGTCGCGCGTTTTGGTAGGTTATAAACCTACGAGCCAGTGACAATGGACATAATTGGTCATCGGTCAGTAATAATATAACGAAGTTGGTAAAATATAACTATGAGTTTAGGGAGTAGGGACAAAAATTTAAAAAGATCTATATTTACATTATATTATTATTACTTATATTATAGTAGAGGCTCTTACTAGTAGAGGCTCTTACGGGCAAAAATACGTGTTTTCTGCTACGAGTTTAGAGACCTAACCGCTAATTGGACACAATAGTATGATGTCTAAGGATCGATAATATGTTAAGAAATATAAATTTGGCCTTATTAGTCACGTGCTATACCAATGCGCGTTTTAAACTTTGACAGTCTATTACTCTAAGGCAAATAAAGTAATTATATTCATATTTTGTCAGCAATAAGATCACATTATTTTTCATTTGGTGTGAAAATATGAGCTAGAACAGACATAATCTCGCTGAGTTATAGCTGTTTGAAATTTATGATGAACGCGCGGGTGCCAATTGATAACAACTAAATGCTTTTGCGCGTAGTGCGCGTCGAAAATTTGGCAAAAACGCTTGCGGAGTGACAATATTCAAACTTCGATAAAGTATATAAAGTGGGTACTTCTCGGAAAGGAAAAATTTAGGCAAACACGATGAAACTATTTTTGGGTTGATTAAATACAACTGCAAAAAATTATTCAAACTTCAAGCAAAAAAGTCAAAATTTTTACCACTTTTTTGAATTTTTACCCCAGAACAAATAGAGGGATTTGTTTTATTTTTATACCTTTTTGTGCGGCTGTCTTTCAGCTATCTTCATGCAAGTTTTGCCGACATGCCAACAAAATTAACTTGCTCAAAATATCAAAAAACATGGTTTTTTGGCCTATTTTTGGCCCAAAAATCGGTTTTTTGCAATTTTAACCCAGAAAAATCAGTCTAATCAACTTGAAACCACTTTTAATCGATTCTACGGTCAAAAATACGTCTAGTAAGGTGTATCTGGGGTCCCTAGCGTATCGAGCAGACAATGCCCGTAAGAGCCTCTACTATACGGGCAAAAAGACGTGTTTTCTGCTACGAGTTTAGAGACCTAACCGCTAATTGGACATAATAGTATAATGTCTAAGGATCGATAATATGTTAATAAGTATAAATTTGGCCTTATTAGTCACGTGCTATACCAATGCGCGTTTTAAACTTTGACAGTCTATTACTCTAAGGCAAATAGAGTAATTATATTCATATTTTGTCAGCAATAAGATCACGTTATTTTCTATTTGGTGTGAAAATATGAGCTAGAACGGACATAATCTCGCTGAGTTATAGCTGTTTGAAATTTATGATGAACGCGCGGGTGCCAATTGATAACAACTAAATGCTTTTGCGCGTAGTGCGCGTCAAAAATTTGGCAAAAACGCTTGCGGAGTGACAATATTCAAACTTCGATAAAATATATGAAGTGGGTACTTCTCGGAAAGGAAAAATTTAGGCAAACACGATGTGACTATTTTTGGATTGATTTAATACAACTGCAAAAAATTATTCAAACTTCAAGCAAAAAAGTCAAACTTTTTACCACTTTTTTGGATTTTTACCCCCAAAAAAATAGAGGGATTTTTCAAATTTTTATATCATCTTGTGCGGCTGTGTTTTAGCTATCTCCATGCAAGTTTTGCCGACATGCCAACAAAATTAACTTGTTCAAAATATCAAAAAACATGGTTTTTTGGCCTATTTTTTGCCCAAAAATCGGTTTTTTGCAATTTTACCCCCAAAAAGTCAGTCCAATCATCTTAAAACCACTTTTAATCGATTCTACGGTCAAAAATACGTCTAGTTAGGTGTATCTTTGTATCACGCGGTGACCCCCACTGCCGCTTCACTCTAGTGAAGCGGCATACTGTAGCGTCTTCGACGCTACAGGGGGAGCCGCGCACTTCGTGCGCGGCGGGTCATACAACGTATGACAAGTGTATCTGGGGTCCCTAGCGTATCGAGCAGACAATGCCCGTAAGAGCCTCTACTATTAATACATATCATTAATATTAGTAGTATAGTAGTAGTACCTAGTTTGTGATAGTCTAAGTCAGTATAGTGGCGCGCACGACAGTGTAGTGACACATTACACACGATCAGCGGGATAACCTTAGTTTAGCTTGTATCACGTTGCGACCCCCACGGTCGTTTCACTATCAACTATCGTCCTGACGATACATACAGGGGGAGCCGCGCACTTCGTGCGCGGCGGGTCATACAACGTATGACAAAGTTTAGCTAATTAAGGAACTCTGGCTTAAGTTTTTAGAATATGCAACAGTAGAGTGAGAAGCTGGCGCCGTCCAATAACGGCTATTTTGTATAACAGTGAATGTAGAGCGAGATTTAGGCAGACGATAATGTACAAGCCTGACGTACACAAACTTAAAGATTGTAGTCTAGGGTTACTGGGCCGCGCTCAGCCTGTCATTCCGCCAAATCTCTATTATGTTTGTGAACATGATAGCCTGAGGTCCCCAGGTAAAGTCTAGGGGTCAGCAAGGCAAGTAAATCAAAATGCTAATATCCTGATCCAATGATTGCAAGTTATTGTGGGTATTCGATACTCGATAAGTCAGTGAATCGTCGGAGCTGGATAGTGCTGATTAAAAATAGAACTTAGTATTAGTAATAGTATATCACAATAACATCTAAAATCAGTCTGGAAATGAGACTTTGCTGTTTTTCTACCTGCAATTGACGAACCGAGTTTTACTTTTAGCAGTAAGCAAGCGCACGGCATGCCAAAATTGCTTTAACTAGAATGGATGATCGAGTACAACTACAATTACATAATATTTGGAGGATAAGTGATAAAATAAATTCCATACAAATGAAAAACCGTCCTGTCACACTCACATAAAGAGGTCGGCGGTATAAGGGGTCCGCTCGCTCACACAGATGACCGATTTGAAGGAAATCCACAGTTATTACCATAACTATGATCACCCTGACGAGGCAGCTATGTTATTGCTTCTGCGGAACAAATACAGGTATGGCCCGCTATCATGGGCCTCTTAAATAGCATGCAACCGCAAGTGATACTGGTCCGCTTATAGGGGCAATTAATCGGGAAAGACCGCTGCAGCCAGGCAACTGTCAGCCATGCGCAATAAATAATGAGAAACATTAAAATTTACGGAGCCCAGAGCCGTGGTCCTTGCAATACCACTACAATTAAAACACGTTAGAATAACGTTAATGCTCTCCAGTACAGCATCACAAAAGACCAAAGGAACAGTTTTTATCAAGAAACATACCGAAATTGCTGTAGTGTGACTAAATAAAAGGATTCCGACTTGAACCCGAAATAACTTGTTCATAAATGCAATTTGGATTGCAAGGGAGTTACCATCAAGTTGACAACTTGCTGAGGATTTTAATTTACTGCGACTGGGACAAAACTGACAGGATTCTGGTGGAACCACAGCTGGTGTTATGAAAGATAGCTATTTTAAGATCACCTTTGAACTTTCTGATGAGCCAGTTTCTAACGAAGAAACATGTCATGTATGATGTACGCGACGCACAACAGAGCAGAAAGGAATACAGCTGCAGTAAGAAAGGAATACAGCTGCAGGAAAAACTCATGATTATTATAGCGAGGAACGTAAGCCTACACTGGACTGGGTAGGAAAATAATTATGAGGATGACAGCTTGGGTTCCGGTAAGTGTTGAGAGGTGTCTGATTATATTTTATTGTAAAATTTGTCGGGTTTTATTAACCGTTCTTAAAAAATCAATTCGAGTAGCATTTGCAAAACAAGTTGGGTAAAACTATGTGTTTTATCAATACATCATACACTCACTATATGTTAAACTCTTTAAGCATAGCCGTCTATAACATCGGGCATGGTACAAATTGATAGTCTGTTCAAAGTATCAGCTTTTCTCTAAGTTGAAGCTTCAAATTCTAATGACTATTATACACCATGTAAGACAATTCATAAACTATTCTCTGCACCTCAAACTCAAAAGCATGCAATAAGATTTAAAGTTCAAAGATCAATTCTGAGTAATTCTGAAAATTTTAACACAATCAACTAACAGTAACTTGGAACACAGCGTAAATAATTGTTGAATATTCAACAATTGAACGATAACATTCCACCGATCTCTCCGATAATATATCCCAATAACAATCGGCCCGGTGGTTATTGGCAAACGATGGTTGCCAACTGCCAAGGTTCACTAACACTACATTATACACACTTATTTCCCAATAGCTTCAAATATCTATCAAAAGATTCAATTTTTGGCCCTGATTAGGGGTCACAAAATAATTAAAAAAGTTACATTTATAAAGTAAACAAACACAATTTCTATCATGCAAGATAGCACAATAACAGAGCACACGTTCCTAATAAATAAAAATCATATTCATTATAAACACTTTTCTGTTCACAAAAAATAAAGTTTTTGCATATCTGAAAAGTGTTTATTCATTATAAACACTTTTCTGTTCACAAAAAATAAAGTTTTTGCATATCTGAAAAGATTCCTAAAGTGTAAAGATTATTGCTTGGTTTCCGCGGGTTTCTTTGGTTTGGTCTGTTTTGGTCTGGTAGTAGAGGTTGTGGGAGTGGAGGAACTCAAGTTGGCGGCTGTGTTCCTCCGGGAAATAGGTGTCCGCCCCGTCGAATCTGGGAAGATTGTTTATCTTAGCGAGTTGTGGAGAAAAACCATACAGAAACAAATCGACCATGTTTTTCAAACCATCAGACAGATATTCACACATATAAATATAAAGTGGGTATAGTTACCTGATTTAGAGACAGCACCAGTTCGCTGCCGGACAGGTGTACTGGTACCAGCGGGGGGCGCTGTTTTGGGTTTCATTCTCGCCTCACTCTGGGTCCTGAAGAGAGGTTGCATTATTATTTTATGATCATATAATTTACTTTGCACCATGGTGGTGGAGATAAATCAAATTAAAAAGTGTATTTTTACATTATAAACCTATTAAATAAATGAACTAGCGGCTCTTACATACCTGGTTATGGGTGAGGCTCTATTTGGAGTAGGAGTTCTGGGGGTGGGTGTTCTGGGCGACATGCCCACAGTGCTCTGAGATCTGGGTGACATGTGTCGGGGACGGGTGACGGGGCTGGGTGTACCCCTGGCCGTTCCTGGTTTTGTCAAATCTGATCTGCTGTTTGATCGCGGCGTACTTGCAGAAAGTCCTCGTGCAGCTATACCTGGTGCTAGATGTTAGTTGTTTAGTAATGTTTATACAGGCTGGGTAAATTAATCAAAAGTTTCTAAAAATATGTGTATATATGGAAACTAATTGAATATAAAATGAGAACTAACCGAAAGTACCAGGTCCCTTAACGCTGGCACTTCCACGACTGCTGATGCTTCCACGACTGCTGCTCTTACTCAAAACACTGCTTCTACTTCCACTCTTGTTGAGGTTCTTACTGGGACTCCTCCTTACTGGACTGTCAAACTCAGTGCTCCCTGAGGAACAGAGAGACCCCTGAGAACCAGACCTCTTCTTGAGACCCAGTGCTTGGCAGGAGTAGGGGGAGACGTAACCTCCTTTAACCTGGGGAGGGAGGGTGGTTACTGGTTACAACTTTAGCTCCTTATATGGTGGGCGGCATTGTGGTGCAATTCTGTTGCTCTGTATGTGAAATCTGATTTCTGAAGAATAATCGGACCTATTTTTAGCTATAATATATCAGTAATAATAATATCACGTATTATTTTATTACTAACTTTATAGCCAGGGAAGGATATTTGCTTGGCGTCGTGCTCTATTTCGAGTCCCTCAAACTCTCGTGAAGCACTTTGCCGTACCCCAGCAGACATGGTAATCCTGTAAAATGTTTACCTTAGGAATAATCGCCCACTTGGTCAGAGGGGTGCAGCGTCCAGTGCGCGCGTTGTTACAAAGTTCACAAGTCAGCATTGTGTAACGCTGCTATATGCGTGTCTGTCTGTCAATCTGTCTGTGTGTCTGTCCGCAGGTAGAAATGTCTGTCCGTCATACAAAGTTAAAATTCTGTTCCGATAAAATGTTGGCAGGCTGTATCTCTGGTGGGACTGAGTCTCTGTCATTATTGGTATTTGAGGCAGTTCTGATATCTTAAGCAAAAGCCAAGAAGGCTTATCATGCTAGTGAAATAAAATTCAATTAGTTCTAAGGGTGATGTCAGATCTCTCCTATAGAATTTACAGTAATTTTCCAGCCAGGATAAAGAATTTCAAACGTTTTTTACGTGGAAATAAGTAGTCAGAGATACTCGATACTTCAGAATTATATGCACCTTATAAAAACTGTACATCTAAAAAACCACAAAGAAATACTACGTACTTTCTAAAAACCTATGGTAACAATCTATAACTTGCAGTCAGTCCAGTAATCAGTATGCATCATGACAAATTCCCCAAAATTCGTTTCATTTCCCTCATTTGGAGACAACACAGCCAGTTGTTACAAATATATGTCTAATATTGAGTGTTTCAGTAAAAGATTAGGTCGGTAAGTTACAATTAACCACTGTCATTGGTAAAATCAGTTTTTCCACTCTCCACCAATGGAGCTGAGTCTCCTAACCCTCTGTTTGGTAGGTCTGTCCTGCTGTACCCCCATGGGGGCAGCAACACTAGCTCTCCTGATACGAGTTACCCCTGTTATCTGACCACCTCCCCCGAGCTGCTCTTCTCGGGGTTCTGGCGACTCGTGTGAGGGGGACCGGGACAAGGAGGACCGGGACAAGGAGGACCGGGCCCTCATCCTAGAAAGTTTAGTCAGTCATTGTCAGTCAGACAGTTATCATTGTCTCGAGTTTAAACTTGTGTGGTGTCAGTCAGATACGTTAATTGAGAGGATGTAAAGATATAAATTGAGGAATTTTTGCTTACCTTCCCCTTGAAGTTTCTGCTGAGGGTTTCCTTGCACGTCCGTCCGGCGTTTGAGCCCTGATAATCAGATGTTGTTAATTAAGATAAACACAAGGAGATATTTCTTAACTTTATTTTGTAATCTTGCGAGCAGTTCGATACGAATAACACAGTTGTGATTATTGCTTATTGACAAATACGCAAAGGCAGCGATTCAAAGGCGGCACACACAAAATGATAGGAATTTGGGACATTTCTATGAACAAAATGGCTTGAAATCATAAGCTGAACAATTTGACATTTGTATGGTGTGCTATATATAGGAGCTCGCGATCAATGATGCCATATATATAAAATCATTTCTAAAATATCTAAAATATTGATGAAGTACATTTTGGGAGGTTTCTCTTCCGCAAGCCACAAAATATGCTGATAATCATTCAATATTAATATTGCTGTGGGGGAAAAGAGCTGAAATAGTGTAAACACAGTCAGCGGGTATATTGGCGCTACCTTGCGTTAACACAGGGTTTCTTTTGTGTAAAATAGACAAGTGTGTCTCTATGTGTGTTGTCTAAGTGCCGGGTGCCGCAGTTGCTGTCTAGGCTGGAGGGGAGGTTGCTGAACTTTCCACAGAATAACAATGCTCCACTTGAACAACGACATTACATCATATCGATATAATATCACATTCACACACCATACCAAAAACATTATAAATTGTAAATCATTATTTGATTAATTAATTAATTGAATAATTAACGTGCTCCGCGTATGTTACACCTACATAATATGAGGTTAACTCTTACCTAGGAGTGCCGGGTCCAGAACCAGGTTTAAACTTTGTCAGGAACTTGAGCGGAGAGATGACCCGTCCCTCACCGTCCTTCTTCAGCTTAACCTTGCCCAGATCCACATTGGTCCTGCCTTTAGCTCTGAGAGATAAGATAAGGTTTAGACAACAGATTGATCATCATCACACTTACTTAACAGTCAGTTTTAAAAAGATGACCAAAACTTCTAGAAACAGTGCTGGAAGTCACAACAACACAACCTCACTAAGGTGAGTCTAGTTAAACATAACCCGACAACACTGGCAAAGGTTAGCAAATATACAAAACTTTGCTTTTACAACGGATGCTTCACAAGATGTTACACTTCAATCCCCGCTTTATTAAATAGCTCCAATATGGTAACCAGGTAACCAATATGGTAACCAATAGCTCCCACTTTGTCAGTCACCTGACACTGTTATCCCGTGTTATCTGTCGTCATAGTTACCACTAGTTACCACTAGTTACCACTAGTTACCACTAGTTACCACTAGTTCCCCGCTTTATTAAATAGCTCCCACTTTGTCAGTCACCTGACACTGTTATCCCGTGTTATCTGTCGTCATATAAATTTAAAGAGAAAACAGATATGCTGCACACACGAACAGTGAACACCTGTATACATTTTACACGATGGCACATTACGAAGGGGACACGCCACACCACTGATAGTGGGGTTACAACACGCCACGCCACTGATAGTGGGGTTACTTACACCAATCCTGACATTCTTACTCCTGCCTTCACCCCCATCCAGGGGTATCGTTTGCGCTGGTTGACTGACCTCTTTTGTAGGTCTAGCTCGCAGCTTCTACAGTTAATAACCAGTAAGTTTCATGCTTATAAAATTTCTGTCTCCTTAATCAAAATCAGACTTCTTCAGAAAAATTTTTTCCACAAATTCGTGAAGAAGAAGGCTCTAACAGCTAACTCTCACACAGTGCTTATTTCTCAGCCCTCCTAGTAACAAGTCAGTCACGTTTATTTGTGAACTTACATTGTGCCGGAGTCACATCTTGTAATACTGTTTTATGGTAACCAATATGGTAACCAATGTGCTAATATGGTAACCAATATGGTAACCACGTAACCAATATGGTAACCACGTAACCAATATGGTAACCAGATAACCAATATAGTAAGCAATATGGTAACCAATATGGTAACCAATATGGTAACCATTACCGGGTAACTAACTTGCTGTCAATACAACTTAATCACTTACTCAGACTCTCTATAGTTACAGCTATAGTTAAATATGATTTCTTACTATTGGAGTATGGGTGTGGCTGAGAGGCGCCATATGGTCAAAGACACAGTTTTTTCTCAAAAGTGCTGGTTAATTGTTTGCGGCGTGGAATGTTTCGTATTGCAAAAAGAAAACTCAAGGTAAATGTCAGTTTGATACAGCTGGCAGCAAATGAACCGAGCTGTCACGTGGTTTCAAGACCTTCTCTGATTGGATTCCTACATTATTATACAAAACTCTAGAAAGAGCTGTCTAATGAACCTGTAGATATATATAAATACCCCCAATACCCATAATACCCATGCACTTTAACACACTGCACTCGCATGCAACACACCTCACCACACTCGTTGCCATAGCAACGCACTCGCTCACCTCTGATCGAGTAGTCTTTGATAACGGCTAAATATTTTCACGAATAATTTTCACAATGACCTCCATTTGAATGATAAATTCCTAAATGACTAAACAACAGCTGACTTATCGCATTTTCCCAGTTCTCACACACAACACTAATTCAAGGAAATGATATTATAACTTTATTTATTCTAAACTTAGAAATCTGTTTTTACCTGCAAGGATCGTATTTCTGTAAGAACTCATGGAGCGGCTGCCAGCCTCCCCCAACTCTAACCATGACCACGGTGCTAAGGATTCGAACCAAGTAAAGTTTCTGCATGTTTCCGAACCTGAGAAATGTTTAGTCAACATTTGTAAGTTACATGGAAATATATGAGTGTTAGTGCTGAATGTGAGTGTTTGTTATGAGTGATAGACTATCATGGAGAGTGTTAGTGCTGAATGTGAGTGTTAGTGCTGAATGTGAGTGTTAGTGCTGAATGTGAATGTTAGTGCTGAATGTAAGTGTTAGTGCTGAATGTAAGTGTTAGTGCTGAATGTGAGTTTTAGTGCTGAATGTAAGTGTTAGTGCTGAATGTGAGTTTTAGTGCTGAATGTAAGTGTTAGTGCTGAATGTAAGTGTTAGTGCTGAATGTGAGTGTTAGTGCTGAGTGTAAGCGTGAGTGCTGAATGTGAGTGTTAGTGCTGAATGTAAGTGTTAGTGCTGAATGTGAGTGTTAGTGCTGAATGTAAGTGTTAGTGCTGAATGTGAGTGTTAGTGCTGGATGTGAGTGTTAGTGCTGAATGTAAGCGTGAGTGCTGAATGTAAGTGTTAGTGCTGAGTGTAAGCGTGAGTGCTGAATGTGAGTGTTAGTGCTGAATGTGAGTGTTAGTGCTGAATGTGAGTGTTAGTGCTGAATGTGAATGTTAGTGCTGAATGTAAGTGTTAGTGCTGAATGTAAGTGTTAGTGCTGAATGTAAGTGTTAGTGCTGAATGTGAGTGTTAGTGCTGAATGTAAGTGTTCGTGCTGAATGTAAGTGTTAGTGCTGAATGTGAGTGTTAGTGCTGAATGTGAGTGTTAGTGCTGAATGTAAGTGTTAGTGCTGAATGTAAGTGTTAGTGCTGAATGTGAATGTTAGTGCTGAATGTGAGTGTTAGTGCTGAATGTAAGTGTTAGTGCTGAATGTAAGTGTTAGTGCTGAATGTGAGTGTTAGTGCTGAATGTGAGTGTTAGTGCTGAATGTGAGTGTTAGTGCTAAATGTGAGTGTTAGTGCTGAGTGTTAATATCAGTAATGCGAGTGCTGGCGTTAACTGTGAGTTTGATGTTGGCTCTTTCATGACTAATGTAAAATTGTAATCCCCAATGATGAATTGTTAGCATTCTTTAAAGCAAGTTCGCAGCATCCACTAAATATATCCTCAGTAAATCACTAAATTCCCGTGAGGATATTGTTGTAATTTAAGACCCCCTGTTTAATGTTAATCCATTCATGTTGCAGGAAGTTGATTTTAAAATAAGATCCTACATTTTATAGCATTACATGAAGGCGTTTATAAAAAGATTTCAGCATCCGAAAAGCCAGCATTCCAATATAAAAGTTTAGAGAACCTTTTTAAACTTTATTCGAGAAAAGCATTGCCAGAAAACTCATTATAACTTCATTCAAATCATTAACTTCTGAACCTAAATAAAACCTAACTTTAAATTGAATCCAAATCCCTGAAACTGAAAACCCATAACAATCCTTCATAGCAATCCTAGGCAAAGAAGCGGGTAGTTGAGTTGCAAAAACATGACATTCATATATGATATAGCATAGTAGCGGAGAGGGTTAACATGCTTGTACTACCAACCTCCATAATACACCGTTAAATCTCTTGCTCGAATCACTACCCGGACTAAATTTGGGTAGGTTAGTTTCCTTCAGCTTACACCGCAGCTCATTCAAAGCTCATTTCATTTTTGAAAAGTTTAGCTTTGACACGCAATTTTCACGAGAGAGAAAATGAGGAAAGTTGATCTTACCTGTATTTAGCTTCACCGACTTGCACACAGTTAAACCTTCTCCTGCAAGAACAACGATCTACTGCTCTCTGTACCTCGTAGTCTATGTGCTCTCCCTCTGTTTTAGGCTTGAACTGCGGACAGGGTGGTCATTATTAAGAAACTGTTTACACCATTAAAATATTCAAAACCCCTGAAAGAAATCAAGACATCCTAAAATGGTGATCAGTACAGATCAAGACAGCTAGATCTGACAACCACAGGGTGGTCAGGTCTCCTTTTTTAAAGAGTAGATTGTTTAGACTGATACGATTATTATTTTCTCTCTGAATAGGGTACTATTATTGAGCTTTTTACCGCTGCTTTAGAATTTTCAAATATCGAGGGATTAAGTCATTGATTTCATGATCATCACCTCATATTATCCGAGGAGCAGAAAACTAACCTCATATCGTTTCAGTGCAGCGGCGAACTCCCTATAGTTGATATCCCCACTGTCATCCCTATCAAATTCTCTGATAATAGTAGGGAAGCAGGAGCGGGGTGTTGGTATTCCAGCCTGGATTATACCGTCCTTAAACTCTTGGTGGGAGAGAGTTCCGTCTTTGTTGACATCAAACTTGCGGAACAGATCGATAATACTGCGGGATAGGGATGGTGAGGATGGGGAAACAGTAAGGTGATAAATGGATACGGTTAACACTGTCTACTGTATTAATTGTTTAAGTACAAAGTCTGTATAAAAGTCAGTCAGTGTTGGCATCAATCGTCTAAAGTCCAGATCAAGATGATAGTGAATCACAAACTAATACAAACTTCTTTTCAATAGGGCTGGGTCGGTCTGGGTCGTTAATATCCAGTTTCGTGTCTCTGCGGGTAACTTCCCAGAGGCTGTGTGTGGTCGGTCAAGTAAATATAGTTAAAAAACAGTCAAGTAAATTTAGTTAAACGGTAGTGTGGGTTTAACACCAATCGGCTGTCGGTTAGTTTAAGGAGTAAACTATGTCAGGACTGGATTAACTTAAACAGTCGTAATGTTTGTTTGGGGACCGGTTTTTGATCACACAAATATAAAATAATGATTTCAAAAGTCGGTTCCCAAGAAAAAGGTAAAGTTTTCATATTTGTTTAACTCTTAGTCTTACCGCTCGTGGTTGCCGTCCATCCATCTGAGGAACCTCTTCTTCCACTCGGTAATATCAAAGCTCGCCAGATCGTCCTCAGCTTCCAGAGCCTCTTGTCTAGCATTGAGCTCGTCTTGTCGGGCCCCTATCTTGTTCCACAGCTCCTTGTAACGATCCTTCATCTCTTTGTACCTGATGGGAGGAGCATGTAATGACCAGCCCAATGCATATTTCAATGTTCAAATATTGCCCTCCCTTCCCGAATTATAAGAGCTCGCTAATCTGTGCTAAGTTTTGATCTTCCGAATGAAAATTCGACGGTCTACGCTCTGTTAAGGAGTGGGAGTTAGGACCAGCTGAGTTTCACATTCTTAAGAACCTGGATAGTGGATAAATCCTTTTAGAACCTTGTCGGACCCGCAACTTTGATTGTATGCGAAAATGCCGCTGCGGGGGCAGGGTGCCTGCCTGCCTGCCCCCGCATGATGGGGGGGTAATTACTCCACTGTCCATTGGCAGCAGGTGCAGGAATTATCTCCGCCATAATATTTCTAAGCCACTGTGCTGTAGAGCTATAATAAGATGCTAAAATTAGAACAAAACCTTCCAGATCATCCAATCTAGAAGTTGTGAATATAAATATAGCACAACGTAGAATGATCCCAGAGATTTTTGCTTGTCAACTATGTCATGAGATTTAATATTAGCGGTATTTTGTATGCTTTGCACTACTGCAGTAATCTCAGGGGCGCGCGTATGATCATGATGTTTTGCTCCAAATCAGACAGCAAAATGTTTCCCAGATACCGGAGCCATAAAAGTGTCAGTGACCTTTAATCAAACCGCGAGTCTCAAAATAACTTTCTGGAGAAGTAAAGATATTTCTAGCTGCAAGGTATCACAATATCAAGAAAAATAATCAAAAGGTGGTTGTATGTACCTGGCGTTCTCATCATCACTAAGAGCGGGTCCGGTCTCCTCTCTGATAGCTCCTAGTGTGCAGACCTGCTCCACAGCTGTGTTCTGGTCCGCCATGAAGTACGACAGTTGCTGAAATTATAGGATAACAGTGCCGTTTAAACAGGAACTGACTCGAGCGGATATCATAATAGGACGTTATTCTGCTACTTAATGCTCATAAACAGCCAGTGAAAAACAATTGTTTACCTCCAATAATCCATAATCAGGATCAATAATCTCAACAAGATATTTGTATTCCCATCCATCGTCTTCATCAATACCGATATCAATCCATTCAAAATTAATAACAAGCTCGCCCATAACCCCTACAAAACGGAAACAAAACCCGGCAATTATGAGAGGAAAAAAGCCGTGTAAGGTATCCGTTAAATTACTTGGTAAGTGTTACTGAATGGTAAGGAATAAGAAAGTGTTGACAGAGCAGTGACTTCACCGTGTGAGAGTTACGAGAGCTAAAGTAAACTGTCTGTAACCATCAACAGGTTTAAATCTTGTTACCCTAAACACATACCCCCACTGTGACGCAGGTAAACATGTCTACTGTATTTCAACCTTTTGTATAAAATACAGTGCTGCGTGTGAGTGATTCCATTCCCACATTTAAGTTGTAATTCAACGTGACTTAGTTGACACAGTCTTACGTCAACTATTTCAAGTTACCTTATCTAACACATTGTCATGTAGAGAATACGTCAACTGAAAATTAAAGAACCAAAGCTGAATATTTTAATCTAGAAAACAACTAAAATCATACCAGAAGTTCTTGTATCTGCTCGGAAATAGTCTCGTAATCGTCACTGATTGGTTCCAGACTATCCAAAGCATTCTCAGCGTCAGGTAACCATTCAAGAATAGCGTTGACAGAGTCTTGGAAGTCATGACAGATCTGCATCGCCTCCTCAATCGCTCTTTGTCTCGCCATCGATGCTTTCACAACTGAGTCCCACCTAAAAATATTGTTCAGTGAACCCTGATTTGGGACAATATCCGATAAAACCACCTTTATCCGTTCACTGATCTACTCTATTCAAATAGTTCCAAAGCGAAATATAAGTAAGCTCACTTTTGTCCGAGGTCCTGGAGTTTCTCGTCCAGTGACTCCCCGACAGTAGGATCCTCTGATTCGGTCAGAAGTTCTTGACATGTGATCACTATACTGTCATAATCATCCTGGTGTTCATCAAACCCGGCGTGTACGTTCTGAAATATAGCAAGTATTTTAGAATATAGCAAGTATTAGGTGTGCATTTTCTGAAATATAGAACAGTATTTTAGATTATAAAAAGTCACTTGCGTGCTCAGGAATATAAGACGGTAGGTAATTAAGAATATAGCAATTATTTAGCGTGCACATTCTGAATTAGAGCAAATATTTTAGAAAATAGCAAGTAATTAACAGGTATTTTCCGAAATCTAGAATTTATTTTAGAATATAGCAATTATTTAGCGTGCACTATCAGGAATACAATAGTTACAACAGCATTTTAGAGTGGTAATAGAAGGAAACAGCGTACCTTCTGAAATAGAGGAAAATATTTAAGGGCGGGAATAATACTGGGGATCTATTTCTATTATCTATTGACAAACGGTCAATCGATTGAGCCAAGAAAAGATAGCATGATACAGCTGCCGAGACAAATAAATAGTTTATCACTGCTCCAAGAAACCTACCTTATGTTCACCAAGTTGTTCCACAAGACCATCGTAAGTATCAGCGACAGGACCACAACCCTTCAGGTACTCCTCCTGATCTTCCAGCCATGCCATCAGGTCGTTCAGTCGCATGTCTATAGCTGCTGTAGTGTCTCTTGCTTTTTGGAGGCCAGCTTCCCTTTCAGCTACCTCTCCTGGTATAGAGGAGATTATTTAATGGATAAGTTTTTAATTTGTGAGATGATTAGAGTAAAGAACATTGGATATGGATTTGAAATTGTAAACTGGGTATTGGTTTAATCGTCAGGCCAATTCGTAATCAAAGGTGATAGATCGCACAGTGTGCTTAAACAATTTTGGATCTTATGTCATCGTAAGAAAACTGTAAATGATTATGAATTGTCATCAATCAACGTATGACAAATTTAAAGTTTTTGCTTTCGGATTAATTCTGTTCATCTGAAATTAATCGATGAAGATGAATGCCAACGCTTACCACTGATAATTGTAATACCAGGGACTTGGTCCCTTCTTTTTCGCTTTTTTGCTGGAATTGTATTACTTAACCCAATATTGAGATTACCGACATGAAGTTCTAAAAATGATGTAATGATAGTATAGTGGTGTGATTGATAGTTGTGAAGGACGTAGATAACACAAAATAATAAAGGGATAGAAGTAACAGTCTAATGTTTGGTGGTACAGCGATATGATGAGTCGGTACGATGACAAGTAATAAACTTACTCTCCCGTTCCAGTCGGAGCCTTTCCTTCTCATCTCTCTTCCACTTTATGTCATCGGCCAACCGATTGATCCTATCTGCTCTTTCTTTGTGGATCCCTTGAGCTCTTAATTTTCTGTCTTCTAAGTCCTGTTTTCTTTTCTCAGCAAGTTTCCGTTCCCTTTCTAAATCTGCCTTTAATTTCTCATGTTCTTCCTCTAGATCAGTCAGACGTTTCTCCATGTCACTGTTTTGTTGCAAAAGGTCGTTGAGCTTGTCCTGCTCTTCCTTTTCTCTTCGCTTTGCCCCCTCTAGCTCCGCTCTTAATCTAGCAATCTCTTCTTCATTCATCAACTTTGTTTGTTCCTCAACGTCAGCTTTCAGACGGAGTTTCTCAATCTCACTATTGATCTGATCGACCAAATCTTTAATTTTACGTGTCTGTCTGTTGAGATCATCAAGAAGGTTCTTGTTTTCAGCTTCTTGCTGTTCAAGCTCTTTCTTTGTTCGCTCACCGTCTTTAATAGCTCGGTTTTGTTTCTTCAACAGATTATCGTATTCTTCTTGAAGTTCCGCCAACAGTTTTTCTAACCGTTCAATTTCATTCTCTAGATCACGAATGGAAGACTTTAGGGATTTATTATCTTCACAAAGCTCGTTTATTCTCTTTTGTCTCTCAGCCGACTCTTCCTCATGCTTCACTTTGAGGGCTCTGATCTTTTCTTCAAGCTCTTTCTTTAATCTTTTCAATTCCTCTTCTTTGCCATTGCAGTTATCTTTGGTCTTTTCTAGATCTGCAATCATCTTTTCATCCTGTTCGATTCTTAATCTTTGATCCTCCTGAAGTTTTTCAAAAGAGGCTTTTAAGTTCCTTATCTCTTCCTCAAGATCCTTAATAGATCTTTTCAGATCATCAATTTCATCCTTCAATCCATCCATTTCTGAAGTTCTCTTCTGATTTTTCGAGTCATTATCTGCTTTAGTTTCGGACATTTCTTGCTTAACGTCAGCAACTTTACCTTCGAGTAAAGCTTTCCTTTTGCGTAGAGACTCTAAGTTGTTCTTGTTATCATCTATGTTGGCTTCATCTTGTTTCTTTTTCTTATCCCAAATTATTTTCCCATTTGCAAGTTCGGTGGTACGCTTTCGTTCCTCCGCTTCTAAATCCGATATTTTCGCCATTAATAGCGCAATTTTCCTGGCCAAATCTTCAAGTTCTGCCCATGTTTTTTCATCATGCTCAGCTCGTACTCTCTTGTCTTCAGCTTCATCTTTCTTAAGATCTTCTATTCGATCTTCCGTTCCCTTAATTTGATCCTCGAGTTCTTTAATACGTTTTGCCCGATTATCAGCGTCTTCGGCAAAGTTCTTGTCTGCATCTTCATGTTCTTGCCGACAATGAGCAAGTGACTTTTCATGTTCCTCTTTTAACTTTGTAAGCTCAGCAAGTCGGCCCAACAGATCACTCTCTTGCTTTTCAAAGCCCTCTTTAGCCAATCTGTCTTTCTCCTTCTGATCATCAAATACTTTTCTTAGTTCGTCGAGCTTCCTCTTTAAATCCTCTATCGTTTTATTCAAAGAATCCTCATCATCATTTAACATGTCTAATCTGGACTGCATCATCTTTGCTTGATCCTCCAGATCTTTCATCTTAGCATTTCGCTCTGCTTCGTCTGCAGCGATTTTCCGTCTTAAAGCCTCTTCTTGGCGTTTCAGATCTGCAATGGCAGTAGTAATTTCTTCAATTTGCTTATTGAGATTATTGATGAGATCTTGCTGCTCTTTAGTAAGTCGCTCACTTTTCTTTCGCTCAGCCTCTTCATCTTCTTCTAATTTTTTAAGACAACCTTCTAAATTAGACTTTGACAATCTGAGCTCATCTAAATTTAAAAGCAAATCCCTCTTTTCATTCTCGAATTCTAACGTGGCTCTATCTCTCACAGAATGTAGATCTTGGATTTCCTGCTCCAGTTTAGCAATGTCTTTGTTCAGTTGAGCTATATCTGATTTCAATCTATCTTTTTCAGCATCCAACTCCGCTTTCGTTTTATCCCATTCTGCTTTCGACCTGTTAGACTTCTCTTTTTCTAAACGACTCTGCACTTGCAACTTAGCTAATTGTTCATCAAGGTCAGCTTTTTTATTCTCCAACCCTTCCAGATCTTTCCTCCTTGCCTCTGTCATAGCATTTCTGACGCGATCAGCCTTCTCCCTAGCTCGTCTGTCCTCCGCAAACTTTTTAGCGGCAGTTCCGTCAGGTCCCTCATTTTTCATCTCCTCCTGAATCTGCCTCATTCTCGCAAAGAAACCCGGAGGCACGTCTCCCATAGAGAGCCTCGGGGCAGCTGGTTTCATGGGCATCGTGGCTGGGTACAGTCATACAAAAACAACCCCGAGGAATGATCGGTTTGTAACAAGCAAAAGCTAGACGAATAATATTAACGAAGCCGATGTGCTTAATCGTAGTGTGAGATATCTTCACAGATTGTTAATTGCACATAAGTCGTCATAGTAAATGATTTAATGGTCCACGGAGTATGGAATAATTAGCTTGCCTAAAAGTCTAAACCTCCGCTTAACAACAACGCAAACGGCTAAGTAGGAAACTCCTCCTTGTTTTTAGCGATCTTGGCATTTTTCAGAATGCTGTCTACCAGTCTAGTCGAATTACCATCAGACATGATGTATGAGATAGAGTTACATGATTGTAGGTTAGAGGGGCTGGTATGAAAGCCAAGCATAATAATGATGATAATGACAATAAACAAATAACATAAACAATCAATGACGCGGCAATAATAGTAGTACAAAGGGTATATTATGTCGTGATTTGCTTATATATAAGTTATCAAATATTATAACCAGACCCGTTCCCTCTTCAATTCATTTATGTTCAGAACGACTTAGAAACATTTGGTAACCCACAATTTTTCCCACCGAAAATTCTCCCTCCTGAGAAAAAAGAGATATACACCTACGTTGTTATCTGGTCTGACTGTAAGCTTTGGTCTGTTATCTGTTTGTCGTCCACACATTAGATATTAAACTAAATAAAAAGTCTAAAACTACGTAAAATTTCGAGCACTTCACTCATTTGTTTGTTCAGTTATATCTACATTAACTTCTTCAATTATCTGTCCACTATTTAGTTCATTAGTTAGTTCAGTGTTCTCGGAAATGTCACTCAGCTCTATTTTAGGGTTCGTAAGTTCATATTGGGTCTCAATAGCGAGAACTTCCTCCTCAGCTAATTTAATCAGATCCTCACGGTCCTGTACCGAACTGTCAGTCTCACTCTCATCATAACGAGGCAGGGCCGCTGTCTTATTCACTGGAACTGGGGTAAAGTGGCAATTGTTACCGGCTCATGTTTATATCGCAAAGAAAAGGTATAGTAAGAACCGCCCAGGAAATCGACAAGATAATTGATAGTGAAGTTTCAAAGGCAACTAGACTACAAACCTGGGGACCTCAAGTTTCTGTTAGGATAAGAGCTTGTTTCCGCTGGGGCAGAAGCAAAACGCGTTCTGTAAGTGTAATAAGTAGGACTCCTTACATGCCTTACTGCCGTTCTGATGGACATTCTACGATGCTTCATATCATCAAGAGGCGTCAACACAGAGAACAAAGGGCGTGGCTTGAAGTTCAATATCCATGGTGGTCGATCCTCAAGAGACTTATATCGAACTCTGGGCTCCATAGCAAATGAGTTGTAAGTATATAGAACTGGTCCGGTTCTAACAGGAGGACAGCTGGTACAAAACCTTGTTGAGCTGGAGTGTCTATCACGGGGTAGACTGATCGGAGATAGTATGGGTGAGGGGGAAGTACTCCTCACATATCTAGGTTCTGGTGTTGTTATGGAGGAATCCCATGGTCCCCTCGCACTGATGGGCGAAGGAGTTCTTAACCTGAGGGTTAACTGAGAAGGGCTCACCCTGTCCCCTATGAATCGACCAGGACTTAGAGTTGGTGACCTAGCTCTTACGGATAATGATAAAGGTCGGGTTCTTACATTGGAACAGTTATGTGAAATCAATGTAGCATCATTACTTATCCGTGTTCGAGAGAGAAGCTTTCTATCTCGTTCAGGACTTTGTCTCAGCTTTGGGACCATGATCTTCATTTTAGGTGATCTCGTTTGTGATCTAATAATTTTTGTTGACCACTCCTGGGAACTACGTGATTCGGATTTTAGAGATTCGTTTCTACTTTTTAATGAATGGTCCCGCCGTGGCTTGAACGTCATTTGAGGTGATTTTGAAGGAGGCCTCTCTGTTTTTAACGAGGGACTAAATGATCTGATATCAGGGGATCCCCTAGAATTCTTGCCTGTAGGGTCCCACCGTGGCTTGAATTTTATCTGAGGTGATTTCGAAAGAGGCCTCTCTGTTTTTAACGAGGGACTAAATGATCTGATATCAGGGGATCCCCTAGAATTCTTGACTGTAGGGTCCCAGCGTGACTTGAAGTTCATCTGAGGTGATTTTGATGGAGTCACCTGAACCTTCGATGAAGGACTTGGCGATCTGGTTTTGTGGGAATCTCTAGAATTCTTGCCTGTAGGGTCCCACCGTGGCTTGAATTTTATCTGAGGTGATTTCGAAGGAAGCCTCTCTGTTTTTAACGAGGGACTAAATGGTCTGACATCAGGGGACCCCCTAGAATTCTTGACTGTAGGGTCCCACCGTGACTTGAAGTTCATCTGAGGTGATTTTGATGGAGGTGCTTGTAATTTCGTTGAAGAGATCAAAGATTTTATACCCGGGGATAATCTGATTCCTGCGTGAGCAACCTTTGGCTTGGGTATAATAGAGCTCGTCTGGTGAGATTTTGAAGGAGACGTTGTTGAAGATTGAGTAGGTAGTGCAATTCTTGGAGACGTCCTACCTCTATAGTGATGCGCTGAAGGGGTCACGTTTCCCTTCTCGGTAGAATCAGAACTAGCAGTTGGAAGTGGTTGGCCCAATATTGTCAGTGGCGGAGTAGAGCAGGGATTTCTGATAGGTTCTTTATTCCTACTAGTTTGTGCAATAGCTGATCCATTTTTAATTTTAGACTTCGGCGATGGTGATGGTCCACTTCCTTTCACTCTTTCGCCCTGTTTTAGTTTTGGAATGACAACCGTCATCTGCGGTGATTTTGCTTTTGAAGGATGTGGTTTCCCAGATAGGTTGGAACTTCTCGATGAGTTCCCATTACTGTTACGAGCAGATAATGTTGTTGGATCCTTATTAGTGGACTTGGAAGGTGAAGACATTCTACTGCTCACTGGCCGAGGAACTACAACTTTCGGCTTTGATGTTGTTGAAGGTAATCTAGCTCCACTAGATGGAACACGAATTTTGCTATTACGTTTCGGTACTTCAGTCTTATAATCATTTTCGTTGGCATTTTTTGGTACATCAATATCATCATCTTTGGCATTTTCTGGAGATAAATTCTGCATTTTTGCTGACAGCTTTTTCTTTTGCTTTGGGATGAAAACTTGCATTTGACTATGGGGGGATTTCTTCAATCTTGGACTAGGAGTTATTCTTGCCCCTATTTCTGATTTTGAAGCATCAGATTCATCGTAAGATTCAAAAGGTGGCGAACCAAATGACCGCCGGGGTCTTCGTGAAGAAGCTGGTTTTGATGCTAAAACAGGCGAATTTGACCTGCTTCTTTCATTAGTGGGGCCTACTGACTTGGTATCCGGGTTAGCAACAGCATTCGTGGGGCTCTTGAATCTATTCCTTATTGACTTAGATTTCGGTACCATGCCTTCGTTGGGAGCAGTTTTAGAATACGAATCTCCAGGTTGAGTTGTGATCTGTAGGTTTATTACATCAGCATCAATTGAATCACATTTAGTTGTTTCTTCGGGTAAGGCAGAACCACTTGGTGATAATGTACTTGACATTCTTCTTGAGATTGGAGGAATTCCTCTAGAAGATGTCCAAGCCATTTCAGGGTCAGAGGATAACTCCCTCCTGAACATTTTGGGAGATTTTTTAGCCAGTTGAACCTTATACTCTTTCTCTGATTCCAGTGACACCGAATCAGAGGAGAAAAGATCTTCGATGAGTTTGATACTTGATATACCGTGAACACTGGTGGAAGACTCGCCCAATGAATTACTAACAGATCCAGAAATGTGCGAAGTGTTGGAATTAGAACTGGGATCTTTGGCAAGTTTTCCTGATTGTCTTTCGCTTGATGAATTGTCAATAGGATCATCATGATTCCAATTTGAGGACTTGGAATCTGAAGAATAAAGGTCTTTAACAGGCCTAATGACAGCTTCATTTTTGAGAGTCATCTCCTTTCCCCATCTAGCAATCTCCTTGGGTTTGTTTCCAGTAAATTGTGGTTCAGGCAGAATAGCTCTATTCGTTCTTATTTCGGAATAAGTATCTTGTGTGGTTGGAGCCTTTGAAGGATTGGATCTTCGAGATAGATCTGTGGCTGATCCAGCGAGAGGAGACCCTGATCTATTTCTTGTCCTGGACGGAACAACTGATTGCATATCAGGGTCTTTTAAATCTTCTTGTATCACGTCGCTTGAATCCTGCTGATGAGTATCACTTGGAGGGGTTTTGGGGCTGCTTCTTTTTCTCGGTCGAGTTTTCGCTGGATTTGTCTTGGATACTTTTGAATTATTTGAAGAAGATGCCGTTTCAGATTGTGGTACGACTCCTTTCTTGGATTGAGTGGAATCATTTTGTGAGTAGATTTCATTATTTCCATTACGGCTGTCGGTGGGATCCACGGGAGATAATATCGATGAAACTCTCCTTGGAATGGCAGGAATCTTAAGGGTGCCTTTCATGGATGTCCAGGCCATTTCGGAACCAGAGGAGAATTTTCTAGAAGAAGGTGGCGTGACTCTCCCTGCAGGTCCATCATATCCTCCATCAGATATAGAGATGTTATCCTTAGGTCCGACCAAGTGGTTTGGTTTCACGATTCGGTGACTTTTACCACGTCTATTCGCTGCATTATTCTCGAACGAAACTTTCTTTTCTCTTTTCTGACTTTCCTTAGGCGTAATACTAGAAAACTTACGGGCAGGTTGTCTCTGGCTTGCATTCCGTGACGATGGACTCCTAGCTCGTAACGGTAGTTTCTGGGATGGATCAGGTTCTAGCTCAGTGCCTGGAGCTGAATGTATTCCTTTTCTCCTTACCTGATCTAACGACTGAGGATTAGGATCAGAAGCAATAAAATCAGTTGAACCACTATTAAAAGGTATTCCGGAAACTGAATTTCTTCTCAAATTGATAGGAGGAATTTTAAAAGTTCCTTTCGGAGATGTCCATGCCTTTTCGGTATTTGCTGAAAGTTTTCTTGGGGCTGTTGGTCGATTCGTCCAAGCTCCGTCAATCTCCCTTTGTATTGGTTCCTGATTAGTTGTCAAATCTAAGGATGGCATTAATGATTTAAGGGGTTTCACTTTATTATTCTTATTCAGATCCCGTTTGTTAGGTTTTGCTTCAGAATTTTTAACGCTATCTGTAGTGGATTTACAGCTGGGCGTGTCTTCGAAGGAAACTCTTTTCGCTCGCTTCGATCCCATTGTAGGTATATTTCCCGGTGCAGTAGGAACAGAATTGCATGGATTCGGATTATCTTTATCGTTATCGTACACTCGTGGTATCTTTGATTTGAAATCAGGGACTCTAGTTTCAGGGCCTCTTTCAGATATAGGTGTTTGGGACGTGCTTGTTTTAGTATCAGTATTAGGCGAAGAATCAGCGTCGCTATCATTATCTGCACCTCCGGAAGCATGGGTTGAAGGGGTAAAACTAGTAGGAGAACCCTCAGCAGGTGAATGGCTCTGATCTCTAGGTTGTAGTCTGTACGATGGTATTAGAAGGTTCACTCAATAAATTGCTACCTAGTGGCCTGTCTTCAAAAGAATCCCTTATTGACGACGAACCAGTACTCGCATCATTCTTTGGATACGATCCCTGTTCGCGTTGAGAACTGTTTGGAGAGTAACCTTGTTTTGGAGAGTGACCAGTTTCTTTCTTGTGTAGCTCTGCAACCTTACAAGGATTTTGGATTGGATATGTTTCCTTATCATTTCTTTTATGTTGTTCATTTGAACTAGTCGGCATGCCCTCAGGAAGGTCCTCAGGATGACATTTATCAATGTTAGAAATGGATGGCTGGTCCACGCTATACGAATGTCGAGGAGGAAGAACTAAGCTATCTGACTGAGTATCTGACTGACTGTTTGGCAACACTGTAATTTTTATAGTTTTAGAATATTATTACCTGATATTTACCTAGGCCTTACGAGCTTAAATTTGGTGAACATTTTCCCAATTTAGTGCAAAATTTACAAAAGCAGAAATATTAAATATTACAATAAAACCTGTCGATGGTTTGTCAGTCTTGTCATTTTTTTCAGTTTTGTTAGTTTTGTTAGTCTGTTCAGTGACTCTGTTACTCTTGTCTGTACTGTCTTGATCATTAGGTCGGTCTGATTAAAACAAAAAAGTTAGATTATAAAATTAAAGTCAAGCTCTGAATTTCAGAAGTTTCAAATTTGTCAGCACATTTCTAAACGGTGAACAAGAATGTAAAAAATAAGGTAATGTAGTAGACCTTTCTTATCTTTTTTAGATTTGTCTTTCTTCTTTTTGTGTTTGTCTGGAGAATAGTCTGAAGAGTACAGTGAATCGATGAAGTAAAGAACGTTTAATTCGATGATCTGTCAATAATGAAGAAATATATTTTAATTTAGCAAATCTATCTAGAGCCAATAGCACCAGGCATACCTTCATAGATAGCACCTAAAGGACTCCCTTCACGACTACCTAGATGGAAACTATCGGGGGATGGAGTTGTGCTGCTTTGTCTTCGAAAGTGTGAGGAATCCACGGAGAGGCATATGGTTTTCCTTCGTTCTGAGGTTGTTGCAGTAGTATTGGAGGCCATGGTAGTTGTAACTTCTTCATTCATGGGTTTAAATTCTTTAGAATTCTTCGGTTTTTCTTTTTCATCTTTGACGTTACCAATTGTCTTGTCTTTTTCTTCGTTTTCATCGCTGCCTTTAAATTTATTCTTCCTTTTCTTCTTTTTCTTCTTTTTAGATTCATCACAACACACTTTATAATGTTCTGAAATAGTTGTCAACAGCTGTGAATCCTATCTTAAGAAGCTTGCTTTATGCAAGAAGATAAATGGGGTCTCCAGGAGAAAACAACCACCCAATCAGCTGATCTACAGTAGGGTCCTCATCTGTTTCAATGAAGCAGTGATTCTTTGATGATTAGTGTTCCCGAACACAACCAGATTCATGAGATGCACTACAAAATTCGAGCGCAATTAACTATTAAGCTTTACGCCAAAGACGGAGGTTATTGCAATTATTTTAATGGTGACTGACAGATCAAAAAGTCAACTGCAAGGAGTAAATAAAAGCAAGCGCCCAAGATGAAGATTTAAAAAAATCATTCTGAATGAAAGATATTGGATGAATGTATAATATCTAAAAAATATGGTCAGTAAAATGTAAATAAAATAATCGTATTGTTATAGAATCGAGATAAAGCGGCATAATGTTACACTGTTGTCAGAATAAAGCGGTGTAATGTTACACTGTTGTCAGAATGTTTGTCAAATTATTAGTTTGTAGTCACCTTCGTCAGTCAGAGCCTGGTCATCCAGATAGTTTTGTCTGTCTAGAATCTTTTGGGCTAAATCAATCAGTTTTGTCTTTTCTACAATAGACCAATGTTGAGTTGAAGCACTGAGTTCTAGGATATTAATAATATGAATAAGTTGCGTTTAAAAACCTGTTTAATCTTCATATCTTCAATTAAAAAGTAATATTTAGTCGATAATTCCAGTAACCCATGCAATGACCAAACACCTTATATGCAATCAGAAAGTTTTGAAGTTTTTTGGTTCATCTCGGCTTGATTACTAACCAAATTACTACTTAATTACTAACCCATTACTAACCAAATTACTTACCAAATAAATGAAACTGTTTAAATAATCACCCGATCGTTAAATTAATTTCCCAGAATTTTAACCCATCCCTAGATACCCAAAAACACTACCCAGCAAACATGAAAACATACCTAAAAGCCAGTCCCACTTCTTATTCAACTCCTCAAGCTTATCTGCGATAATAGCAGCTTGATCTGGGTCTGTCACGTTCTTGTAGTTGTCACCAAGATTGTTCACAAATTCCACGTCTGCTGACTTTGTTAATATAGCATCTTGTATCACCTGGGTGTTGCATATTGTTAGCTTGCAGTTAAATTAGATTCCGCGTGAAACTTTCATGAGTTGTTTAAAATTAAGGCTGAGCATATCACAACAAAATAAGGGTCGTTACATTTCAACTATTACACTTTACAGTAAAACCCCAATTTACCGCAAACCCCGATTTACCGCGGATGTTTCCTTTCCCCGAAACTCCGCGGTAAATCGGAGTTTTGGGTTTTAATTTACCTTGTGTTTACCCATCATATCATCCACGATGTCAATGTTACTCAGGGGAACACCGTCATTCTCGATCAGCTGAGCTTCCACTGCATCCATGAAGTTACCAACATCAGCCAGAGCCTTCTCGAAGTCGAGGATCTGGTCGAAGGCACCAGAAAGTGCCTCCTTTCTCTCGTCAGACAGCTCGTTACACCGGTCCCACTTGTTCATGATCTCGTCCAGGAGATCCTGATCCTCCTCGCCTAGACCCTCCTGATCACGAAGGGAGGCTATCAGCTGGGCGTGAGACTGGAGCTGCTGGGCGTCAGCTTTGTGGTGTTCTACTTGACTTTGGACTGTTTCTAAGTCCGCACCTGAAATATATAACGTGTTAGCAATTGTAACTTATTTTCAAGCTTGTCCTGCTGAAGATCCGACGTTAGAAACTAGAAGAAAAAACGAAGCACCCTCTATTCAGTTATCAATATTATTTCTTACCTGGCTTCTCTGCTTTAAGAAGCTCGGTTTCCTTCTCAAGGAGTTCTGGCATGATGTAGTCCAGGGTATCCCTGATGTTCCTCGCGTCCATCATGGCCGCTTCAAGCTCTTCTTGTCGCTTTGTCGCGTCCTTCAGCAGATTATCATACTTCTTCTGTAGCTCTGCGATCTGTAAGAAATAGTATGGTTTAGATACTATTGCAGTGTCAAAAATAACAAAAACTGCAGAAGATAAAATTATACCATATTAAATAAAGTTGAACTGTCAATAAAGAACTAAATACAAAATTAAATTGATGGCAAACCTTATCATTAAGAGGTTTATCGTTCTGCAAGAGGTCGTTCTTCAAGACTTGACCGATCTTCAGAAGATCCTTAAAAAGATCTTTACCCTCATCCTGCACATCATCGGTAAACTGATTGTGTTGATCTAGCTGTTCCTTCAAGATATTGGATGAAGTTGAAGGAGGTTCTTGATTCTTCAGTTCATTAATCTGATTCTCTAGCCAAGTTGATAGTTTCTGGGAAGCATCATCAAATTTGTGGAGATGATCCTTAGTTTTCTTTAGCTCCTCTATCTTCTCATTCTTCTTCTCCTCTTTGTCCTTACACTTCTTCTTCAAATCATCAATCTTTGCCTGCAGTTTCTTAACATCAGCAGGATTGCAATCTTTAGAAATACGAGCGTGGACCTCCTCCAACTTCTCCAGCTTATCCTCCAGAGATGAGATCTTAGGCTCCAAATCCTCTTGGTACCGTTCATTGTCCTCCACACTCTTCAGATCAGTGAGAGGAACAGTGTTCTTCTGGGGGGAAATGCTTTTGATGGCATTGTTGATGTCAGCCATGTCCTCTGACAAGGCATCCAACATGTCACTTTTGTCTCTGAGGTCGTCTTTCTTATCTTCGAGAGTTTTCTTAGTCTCTTTAATTTTTTCCAGTTGAGCTCGAACAGCTGGGTCGGAAGCAGAATTGGGATATTCGTTCTCTAAGACCCTCATCTTTTCCTCTAGGATAAAGACATCTCCAAGTTCTTCATCAATGTCTGCCATGAACTGCACAAGTTCGGCTTCTTGAAGTCGTGGTTTGGGCATGTTGTCAGTGTACTCCTGGACTTTGTCGAACGATTTTGCAATCTCGGCAAGCTTTTGAGCGATACCTTCTTGGTTCGTCAGCTCACACTCAAGGTCATCCAATTGCAACTTCAGATTGTTGTACCTCTTCTGAACTTCCTCGAGGTGAACTCCGAGATCTACAGCACTCTGGCACATCTTATCAGGATCGTATGAAGTCACCAGCTCCAGAGCACTCTCTCCGAACGTGGCCACATCGTCCAAATCAATTTTGTGGGCCTCTATGTCCTTCAAGAGCTCCTTGACAGCGGCGATCTTTGCCTTTATTTCTTCAGGAGTATCTGGTTTGGCAGATTCGGATGCGATGGACATAGACATGTCGTCTAACCAAGGTAGAACGTCAGCCTCAATATCCTGAAAATATAATAAAGTAACATCGTTGCCTTATTTACTTAAAATTCCGACCATTTTCGTCCTTGATTTGCAACGATCCTGCAGCATTGTTTTATTTCCAATATAATACATACTGTTTTTAATTTCAGCTAACCTGCAGCGAAGTTATGAAAGGAAGTACTCCATCCAAAGCATCCCCTCTATTCTTCAACTTATCCGATATCCTGTCCATCTTCTCAGATAGCTTGTTTTGTTCTTCCTCAATTTCCTTTTTGGTTGCAGCTGGAATGTCGCTAGCGACGTCGTCCAGATCAAGTTTCAGATCAGACAGACTTCGTCTCAGGGTCTCGCATCTCTCAGAGAGTGTCTGAAAAGTTTCTAATTGAAGGATGAAAATAACAAATTAAAAGGGACAATTAACTAATTCAGTACAAAAGATAAAAGATTACATTCTTGATTCTATACCATGTTCTGCAGTGATTGAGCAGTAGCAGCAGCTACATTTATCGAGATAGGCTCCAAAGCTTCAAGATCCTCATCCAGTAGGAGAACTTGCTCCATCATGGAAAGTCTCTCCTTCTCGTTCTTTTTCAGGATACTTTCAACCTTGTCAGCGGAATCTCTTCCGGAATTCAATCTAAAATTGTAATGAATTTTAAGACGGTATTAAAGTTATACTATAACATTATGATCACGAAAGTTTGTTTTAAAAAAACGCTCAAGAGCAGAACAAGAAAAGAAAAGATAGAAATCTAAAGAACTAACGATAATGCGAAATCATCCAGTTTCTGTCGCGCCTCCTGCAGTCTTCGTTTAAGGAATGGTGTTTCCTCCAAGTCAGATAGGAAATCGTCTATTTTATTGTCTATCTTATTTAAGGTCTTCTCGAGGGCACGATGAACTTTCTGGAAGTCATCAACCAGTTGCTTTTTAGTTTTAGGATGTAGGGTAGGTTCTGACGATTGTCTGTCGAAGTCCTTTTTGTTTCGAGCTAACTCAGAGATAAAGTTATCCAGTTTATCATCTATTTCCTTCAGCTCCTGAATCTTATTTTCGATGTCTTTCTTTCGATCAATTGCAGTTTTTTCAAGATCCTGAACAGATTCTTCAACTGCTTTGGGATATTTCAAAATTTCTCTCTGGAGCTTAGGAGCTGCTTGGAGTAGCATCAGATCACAGGCATCATCACATTCTTGAGCGAATGATGCTGAAAAACAACCATGTTATATTCAGATACGCGGTGTCAATTTCTTGAAATCAGTTCATCACTGTTTATGTTAAATTCAGTTGAATCACGCGATTGCTAATATGTGCAAATTATTGAATAGTGGCATTTTGATAAAAAGAAATTAAAACATGATTTTGAAAAAGAAACCAACCGATCTCTGGTTTGATTGCATCGATAGAGGAGAGATGTTGAACCACTTCCTTGAGTTGGGAGTTGAGAATAGGAATACTGGATGCAATGGGACTCATTTCACCTGCTTGCTCTTTGGATCTCTTAATCATACCGTCAATAGTTTCCCTGTCTCGTTTTAGGTTATCCATGGCTTTGTACACCTCCTGAAAAACAGATTGAGTTAAGACACATTTCAATTGAAGGTGAAATGATGCAGTCACTGAGATGTGATCGACAGAGCCATATATTTTGCACCTAAACAATCCATTGTGACAATGATTTACGCTGTGTGTACGTTCACTAGTTATAACACAGATATAGACATAAACTTACACTAAGTTTGTCTTGATGATCATCACAGTCGCTTCTGATAGAATTGTATCTGTCTTGAAGGCTTGCAAGTTTATCTTTCATCTTGTCAGCATCATCTAGCGACAGACCTTCCAGGGCCTTCTCGGTGATGGACGTTATAACACCTTCGTAACCGTGAATGTCTCGCTTTAATTCCTGTTCGAAATGTTGGTGTTAAAAAAGCAGAATGAGTAAGTAGCAAATTTAGACTAAAGTGATCGGTCAATTAATTAAACTGTAAGTGTAACGGACGGATTGAAAAGAAGGTAAACTAAATCAAAGTAGGGATAAAACAGATACTGACAGTGTATTTAGAGAGTTGTTCTTGCAACCCCTCATCAGTGATAGCAGAGGGTCTTTAACATTCAACTGAGCTTCTTTCTCGTCCAGCCACCTCTTGATATCCTCCAGGGCCTTCTCAATTCCCTGGCACTTCTTCAACGCAGACTCCAGATCGTAGAGTCTCTGAGTAATAGTGTCGTTCATCCTCTTCCAGCCCTCGTTAATCTTCTCCAACTTCTGCTTGAGAGGAGGCATGGAATCTGCACCCATCTTAGCCTTGTTGATAAGACTTCTGGCGAGCTCGTTAGCCGTTGTTATGTGACTCTCACACCCGTCCACAATTGCTCGCAGAGATTTGATCTGCTCCAGTTGCTCCTTTATAATGTGGGGTTCAGATGAGATGGGAGGTGCGGCAGCCAGCTCCTTCTCCTTTTCGTTCTGCCATCGCAAGATCTTATCCAATGCAGCCTCGAGTTTTCGGATTTTAGTGTACGTTCGTTCGAGGCGTTTTTCTTGGGATCTACATTTTGCGCAGAATTTCTGAAGTAAGATTGTAAACGTTAGCCTCTATTTAAACAGAGACAATATTCAAAATGAATTAACACCCGGCCGCTTGTTGCGGACTCGTTCAGCTAATAGTAATACATTAACGTCGTCCGATCACCAGGTAACCAGGTAACCAGGTAACCAGGTAACCAGGTAACCAGGTAACCAGGTAACCAGGTAACCAGGTATTAGGTAACCGGCCGCTTGTTGCGGACTCGTTCAGCTAATAGTTATTAACGTCGTCAGATCATTAACGTCGCATGTTGCGTAACCAGGTAACCAGGTAACCAGGTAACCAGGTAACCAGGTATTAGGTAACCGGCCGCTTGTTGCGGACTCGTTCAGCTAATAGTAATACATTAACGTCGTCAGAACATTAACGTCGCATGTTGCGAACACCTTTTCATGATTTAAAACAAATTTAAACGCTAACCCTTTTCAGGATTGTTAGGGCGACTAACTCTAACAGTTAACACTGACCTTCCAATCGGATCTGAAGCTCGTCACCTTATCTCCCAGATCAGCGGGATAACATACAGATGATCGTTATCAGCAAGAGATAGCAGATACTCGCTCTCCTTCATCATCTCCTCTATCAGTTCTTCCTTACTCTCCAGTTCTGTTGTGATTGCCTGGAGAAGGATCGTGTGTAACAACAAAGTTGTGATACAGGGTGTTACCATGGTAATTAGTAGTGTTACTATGGTAACTAGTAGTGTTACTATGTTACTAAAGTTGTAATACAGGGTGACCTAGAACGAACTTTTGTGTCAATTTATAGAAAACTAAGAAGCAAATCGAACAATATTTCAAGTCAAATAAAAATTGGATAGCCGTATATTGTACCCTACCTAGTAGTGTTACTATGGTAACTAGTAGTGTTACTATGTTACTAAAGTGTACGTATTCTACCCTACCTTGCAATGTTTGAGCTGCTTGGCGACCTCCACCACATCAGTAGCAACAGGATCCAATATCTCCAGCCTCTTCCTACTGTTCTTTAGGTACTGCTGTAGACAATTGTACCAGTACACAACCTTCTCAACCCTGTCCATCGTCTCCTGCAAGTCTTGAGACGCATTCTTTGCCTGCGGGGTGGAGCACGTACAACATAAACAAAACGGGGAGAAAGAAATGAGGGACTTGAGCCATTCTATAACGAGCATCAGGGATCATAAGAAACTGGCATAATGTTGAGCTGAGATAGACTTGAAAGAGAGAATACGAGGGCACTGCAATCGGATCTCTTATTAGGAGTAAAAAGAGGGCAGGTGATTATCATTTGCGTAGACGACAGCTGCGTGAAGGCAACCTGCCTTGCAGCTTATCCAATATTCATTATGCTATTGTAACCTAAATAATTGTGTCTAAAACTTTGTAAAATATTTTAAGAGGACACATGGCTGGCTACCTTTTTCTTAATGCGACGTTTGCCTCTAGGAGGGGCACTGTGACCATTAATTGGGCTGGATTCTTTCTGGGTCCTCTGAGGACTGTGGTTTTTATATGGACTGTATGATTTCTGGGACAGGTGGGGCTTCTGAGGGCTGTGATCTCGGACAGGCCGATGGTTTTTCTGAGGGCTGTGATCTCGGACAGGCCGATGGGTTTTCTGAGGGCTGTGATCTCGGACAGGCCGGTGGGTTTTCTGAGGGCTGTGATCTCGGCCATGTCGCTTATCTCGAGAGGGTTTCTTATCAGAATCACGTGGTTTCTGATCAGGAGTATGGAATTTGGTATGATAGTGCTTCCTGTGGTGTCTTGGAGAAGGGCTGTCTGTGGGGTAGCTGCTGCCTGGCAGAGCGGGTTCGTCCGTTGGCATGCCAGGAGTTCACGGATCGTCCATACCACCACTGGATAAAACACTCACTACATACACAACCGATCTACAATGTAAGGGTGTGGTTGCTAGTGCGGGGTATATTAGAACACTACAACTTCTACCCCCAACCAAGAGCGATAAAAGCATTACTAATTTCCTTGTTGGGGATAAAAGAGGCAAACAAGGTACGAACCACTACATTCAACAAGGCCCAGTGTTATGGGTGTTAAATGTACAATATTAGCGGAAAATGAGCACGAAGTTACATCATGTATGTGTTATCGTGTAATTAATTACCGAGATTAGAGTAAGCTGGATTATATATAACACCGCAGCTCACAGGTAAATCAAAAGAGTTGCTCATGTGTGAGCCGTATTACATGGAAATACTGCAGCAAGGATACCATGTCAACCGCTGATATCACGAATGTTACGATCTAAGCTGTGAAAACTGAAGAAATGTCCTGCTAGCAGAGGATTACTTGATAAGTCAGGCTCGAATAACAAACGCCTTTTAAGGGAGAGTTGGGAGGAAGAAACGATATATTGAATTAGGGTCAGGATGTGAAAGCATTCATTTTAATATATATATATTTCAATACACCAGGTTACCATGGTTACCCGTATATAAAAGTATAAAGGTACAGTCAGTTCACATTATATTGACGCATGGTATAGAGAAAGCAATATTTACTAACAAATTGATCGTAGTAACTGGTTGTATTAATTTAAGGAACAGAAATGGATACTCTCAGAGTCTCAGGACGTATAAATGGCCGTGAAATTAAGAATTAAGGAAACAGTTCATAATAAAGCAGTGGAAGCCGACAGTAAGCCGATCGGTACAGAGACTGACATCATATATCGTACCTTCCCTACAGCTTATCAACATGAAAAATGTGTCACTTAATCTGTCTTACTAAGGAGTGGCAGTAAAAGTATATCTGCTAGATGTGATAACGACATTAATTAACGGTAATTAATGGTATAACTCCACTTTTGGCCTATTTGACGGCCACTTATATTTTTCATAATCGCACCGGATTTTTTGTCTGTGTTTCCTCCTCCAGGCGCGCTAAATAAAACTTGTGACAAGGACTGCGATTATAAAATAATCTCACTGTTTTGAGAACAACCGAAAACATAGTCGGTGCAAATACAAAAGTCAAAACTGATCGCCCTGATTTTCTGAAAGTCTGAATACCGTGTTCTGCTGGTCCTTCAATAAGTTTACATTAGTTGCACGGGGTAATATTATAGCTCAATAATATAGTGTCAATAATAGAGCCACGTGTGAGTCGATACGAGAACGAATAATCTTGACAGATGCAGGTCACGTGCCAACAAATTCACTGCTCTGAGAGCCTATGAGGCCTATTACATCCAGCCACTGTTTTTCTATTGCTTAACGGGCCCGATGTGGCTGAAGTTAATAAAGGGGCGGGTTATCCGTCGGAATTCTGTGGTTCGCGTTTAATTAACGATATAACTCCACTGTAGTTTCCACGGATAAAACGACTACAGCAAGCACAAACTGCCTGATACGTATCACACACAAAAAACAAAAGTAGCTTAGTCCCTGCGTAGTTAGCTTGCCTACTGTGTGTGTACACTTTAACACGTGTTCAGAAGACAGGTGGGTAGTGTTCTGTCATGTGTCAGAACACTACCCACCTGACACAGACAGAACACGGGACATACGGAGAGGGACTACGAGCCGAGGAGTGGGAGCTAACTCGGGATAATATCGGGTACAACTGGGTTACTGGGATCATAAACCGAGTAACCAGGGTTACAAGTAGCGAACTAGTAACCACGGTTACAGGTAGCGAACGTGTAAATGTAAACCACCGACCAGCAATGAAGTCATTATACTGTACAAGGAAATATTCTGTTGAATGAAAGCATGTTATGTAAAGGATTTATATTCTTAAAACGGTCAAAAGACAACCGATTTATTTCTTTTAAAAGAACTTTGAGTATTAAATAGTGTTTTTTAAGTGAGCATGCTAATGGAGGGAGGCACGACACAAAGGCTCAGTAGCAACTTTACGCCCTTGATAGTCAACGCCCAGGCCCACTATATAGTATGAGGGACCCCCTTATCCTACCCACTATGCCGAGAGATCTTAAAACAAAACCTTCTCACATAATATGGAGCACCACCCAATGCTAACAGTCAATAGCTACACCGGGGGGGTACCAATGGCATAAAATGGCATAAATGGCATACGTTTTATGGCATAAATGGAAATTTTTATTGGCCAATTCTCCATTTATGCCATGAATTTAGGTCTTCATATTTGACTTTAAATTCGCAAATTATAATTAGTACTTGAATAAGAGACATGTTTCATGCTTTATAACGCTTGGAATGATCGTTAAATATTCATATGACAAATAAAGAAAATAGAAATGTATTATATCAAAAATGGCATACATGGCATACGTTTTATGGCATAAATGGAAATTTTTATTGGCCAATTCTCCATTATGCCATTTATGCCATTGGTACCCCCCCGCTACACCTTGCTCATTGTGAACCGTGAAGATATATCCACCAGCGTGCGCTTTTTCGCATAGCGGGCTCTCACCAGCCCGCTGTCAAAGGGCCCGATATCTCTACAGCCCGCTCATGATATAGCCCGCTAACAAGTGACATTTAATTTGACCAGTAGCAATATAGCCCGGAGTTCTCTAAAATATTTTCAGTTTCTGTATCGTCTCCATGTGAAATTCCTTATTACACTGACTACCTTACTCGGGATTATTACGACGGGTTTATTAACGACCGGTTAAAATATGGTTCGGGAAAAATATGGCGAAATTGCTCAAAACCCACCACATTTTCCCGGTCGCCATTTTACCGGTGTCCAACCTTTCAATTTTAGATTCAAAAATTTTGTCTCAGATGTAAATTTCCTTATTAGAGATAAGCAGGTTCAGAAATTTTCGCATTGCTAAAACTTGTGAAACAAGTCGAATTATCAATAATTGTTGAAAGTAGACTCTAGCAAATTCGTTGTTTTGAATTAGCATTACATGTTTACGTGTATCAAATAACCATTATGACTCAATTTGTAGAAAATCTTCGAAAGAATGCATCGTTCAAATTGTTTAGAATTATGAATAAATGACTGATGAAACTGATTCATGTTATTGACCGTTTTAATTAATTCGAGTTTTAATTTAACTGTTACTTTTACTTTGAGTCCTATTTCATTATGTAGAGATAGTCAATACCTAAGAAATTAAAAATTGGCCTATTTAAATCAACTTTGACAATAAGGATATATGACAAGAATTGGGCAAAAAGGTAAATTTTTTGCAATTTTAGCCAAATGAAGTCGAAAAACCTACAACAAGTGTCCCAATAGTCTTCTTTAGTGAATATAAGACAACCATTAAAATATGAGCACCCATACCCCTTGGGAACCCTAAAAGCTGAGTCGGCGGGTTTATTAACGACCGGTGAAAATGTGGTTCGGGAAAAATATGGCGAAATTACCCTAAACCCGCCACTTTATCCCGGTCATAATAATCCCGAGTAAGGTATATAATACATTTTATTTTTGCGTCCGGTAGGGCTGCTCATGCAGCTCGTGAGCAGATGACATGATACTTTGATTAATATCAAAGTTTAATAACACACTACATAATACACATCAGCACTATAATCCCCCTATATTATTGATATTCATCGTCACTGACATTACATTCATTATTCCCACGGCCCAGGAATGCAGTGCATCTCCAGCCCCTATATACGACACAGCCCTTTATGATTGGCTTACATTGAACACGTGACGTGTTACCATGGTTAAAACAATTAATGGCGACCTTTTCTAGAGTTGACTTTTATACCAGCTCCATTGTTTATTTATAAAATTATATATTAACTGTAATACGCCCGCTGGTGGATATAATCCACATCACCTCGACCCGCGGGCGGAAAAATCGTATAGCACTCGGGCCCGATGGGCCCTCCGTGCTATACGAAAATATGTCCTCCTCGGGCTAGCGCCCTCGGGGACATATGAAATATTGCACGCGCGTGCGCGTGCAATATTTTGTTCCGCCCGCGAGTCTCCGGTGATATGTATATATATACATTAGTAATGAGCAGAAAGAAGACAAAAGAAAACGGATCGGGACGCTCAATATTGTAGAACTAATATATTATCTATACGGGTGTTATAAGCCTCACGAACAAAAGTGTAAAGCGAGAGAGCGGAGAGGGGATTATTGATCGGGAGAGGTAGAATCAGGGAAGCAATATTACTGGTTTGTCATGTGATGCCTTGTCGACCTGTCAATGACTAAAAATAGTCTGATAGGTAGTGTATTGAATATTTGTCGTTACAAAGGGAAGCATGTACAGCAGAGGGTGACATTTTAACTTACAATATTGCCAATATTACACAATATTACACAATATCTCCCTAGCTTACAGGTACACAATATTACACAATATCTCCCTAGCTTACAGGTACACAATATTACACAATATCTCCCTAGCTTACAGGTACACAATATTACACAATATCTCCCTAGCTTACAGGTGCACAATATTACACAATATCTCCCTAGCTTACAGGTATTACATGACATGACCATCGTTCTGACTTTCCAGATTTGAGTAAACAGAACCAATATCAGCCAGAATATTACTGGAACACCTTATTAAGAACTAAAAACACGGTGTTTACAGCAATTATTACACTTACAGCTCTAAGTATGATGGTATACTCCTCCTGGACGAGTTTCAGTTTCTCTTTCACTCCCGCCGTCTCCTCCGTCTTCGTTTCGCTGCTCTTAGTGACGTAGTCCGACACACCGTCCCTCAGTTCCTGTAGCTCATTTCCCTTCTCTGTAACATCATCCACCATCTCCTGAAGAAGTGCAGTTTTAGTTCACTTTAGTTAGTTAGTTAGTTAATTAAACTAAAGTTAGTTAGTTAGTTAGTTAGTTAGTTAGTTAGTTAGTTAACTAACTAACTCACTAACATCCACCATCTCCTGAGGAAGTACAGTTTTAGTTCACTTTAGTTAGTTAGTTAGTTAATTAAACTAAAGTTAGTTAGTTAGTTAGTTAGTTAGTTAGTTAGTTAGTTAGTTAGTTAGTTAGTTAGTTAGTTAGTTAGTTAACTAACTAACTAACTAACATCCACCATCTCCTGAAGGAGCACAGTTTTAGTTCACTTTAGTTAGTTAGTTAGGTAATTAAACTAAAGTTAGTTAGTGAGTTAGTTAGTTAGTTAGTTAGTTAGTTAGTTAGTTAGTTAACTAACTAACTAACATCCACCATCTCCTGAAGAAGTACAGTTTTAGTTCACTTTAGTTAGTTAGTTAGTTAATTAAACTAAAGTTAGTTAGTTAGTTAGTTAGTTAGTTAGTTAGTTAGTTAGTTAGTTAGTTAATTAGTTAGTTAGTTAGTTAGTTAGTTAGTTAGTTAGTAAGTTAGTTAGTTAGTTAGTTAGTTAACTAACTAACTAACATCCACCATCTCCTGAAGAAGCACAGTTTTAGTTCACTGCCTTAGGCATCTTGAATGGGTTGTATTAGTGTTTAACAAAATCCAAGGCAAAATGTTATTTCTTGCAGGACTTTGTTCTAATCAGGCGCATTATTGGCTTAACATTAAGGTTCGTGTGCGCCATGAAGTATGTTCCACATTACAGCCAGCGACCTCTATTTTGCACAGGACTTTTAATAAAATGTCCAACACTTTATATTGCCTTGTTTTGTAACACCTCCAGTGTGTGGTCCACTTGTGTATAATCCCCGACCCACGGAAACTACCTGTAATCGGACCACTCGCTACAGGTGTGTCCGTGTTATTAAATTCGGCAGCTCAAAGGTCGCAAGATTTATAAATCTAATGATTGCCTTTCTAATCTGAGGAATGATGCGCATAATTATTATTATTATTATGTGCATAATCATTATTAGTGAGTTGAATCTGAATGATAAACGATTTTAAACAGTTGGCTACGCTCCATGTTTTGATCCTCCCACAAAACCAAGCTCGGCAAGTTTGTCTTGTTTCAAGCGTGCACGCATACTTCAATTATAACACTAAGTTGGCAGCTAGCTTAGTATAAAATTGATGGTAAATATCTAATACTGACCATCCATTCAACTATGTTTAATATACTGACCTCTCAAATTTCTCACCAAGAAATAGCTCTAAAATTTCTCACCCAAGAAATAGCTCTTAAATTTCTCACCCAAGAAATAGCTCTCAAATTTCACACCAAGAAATAGCTCTCAAATTTCTCACCCAAGAAATAGCTCTCAAATTTCACACCCAAGAAATAGCTCTCAAATTTCTCACCCAAGAAATAGTGGTGGGCAGGGAAACAGAAATGGTGAGTCAAGATCACGGAACAAGGTAAACTCGAAACAGGAAAGATATCGGGCGTCACAAGCGACCGGAGTAACCAACTAACCTACGAATTCATCACATGGTGCAGACTACGCACCGGCTGTAAGTTGCGGCATAAATATGCAACATTGCAACATACAATGTGGGGATTAGACGATTATTCTCAATCTCCACCCCACAAGGCACGATATTAATTCTAACCTGACGCTGAGCCTTGAGTCTGGAAACTTCCTTGAGCTGTATGAGGACCTGGGGAGGGTTGTCGAGCTTGTTCTTGGTGTCGTTACACCAACCCAGGAACAGATCGAGCTCCTCCTGGAGTCTCTCGTACGACTTGTACCTCTCCTCGTTACTGAGGGCACATAGTGTCAGGATGATGACTATTAGAATCAACATTACAAACTTAGTGTGAGAAACAGGCGGGGGAAGCCCTTCATTGTTAAACTAAGAGCAGATCTTGTGTTTTAATAAGCGGAGACATTATCACTTGTACAGATCTGAAAAAGGTTTCCACATGATGAATGTGCCATTATAACATAGTTATGTTATTATGTTATAATATGTGTGATATTGGTAGTGATGAAAGGTCTGTCTGTGTCTTAATTGGTTTGTTGACAAAATATTGCCTAAACAGTCGAGAAAAAACAACGTAAATAACGTGAATACTTATATAGTGTATTGCGTACTATATAAATATTCTACTGTATAGTACATGATTTACCTTGCGAGCAAGTTTACTATATTATAAATCAAGTGACCGAGGGACAGGGAAGCCCACGCGGCCGCTGTCAGATTGACCTGCATACGGCAGAAACTTACAACCGTAAATAACAGAATGTATTACCATTTGGACGGTAAACGATCTACAGAACAGAGCAAATCTTATCTAGTAAAAGTAAATACACACCTCTTTCTACGCTGACAGAGCTGATTCATTTTAAAAATGATACATCAAGAGCTCTGCATGCAAAAACATTTAATCAATAGCTACGATTCTGTCATGTACAAAGCAGAACAGCTCAAAATTGGCTCTAGCTTGAAGAGCCTTTTAAGGGTTGATAGAGAGAAATAGGGGCTGCATGGGCGGTATTCTATTCATCATCTAATAGCATGGCTACTTCAAAAAGGGCCACTTGCCTCAAAAATAAAACTCTCTCTTTAGTTCGAATAGCTCCTGGTTCGTTGCAGTGTGGCCAATAATAGATGCGGTACTTACGAGAGCATCGGTGAAGTTAACAAACAATCGAACCTGCTCTCAAGTAATCCACTGTTAGCTCTCCAGAAGGCGTAGGTTATCCATACAGCACGATCGGGGGAACACTCGTGTGGGGCCAGATTGCCAACTAGAAACTGCAGCGGAATATTATCTAGTTTCCGGTCGGAGTCCAGACTCGTTGGGGAGCCCGCCATGACAAGCTCCCGACGACAAAAGCTCCCGACGACAAAATGTACCAATGTAGTCTCAACAAAACAGTAAATACGACTGTGGCTGACAGGTCTACAAAATACGGAAGTAAGATGGCCTCTGACGACTTGACGAGATACAACTACAAAAACGGGCGAGCTATGCAATATATTTAACTTTTAAATACAATAACTCTGATGTACCTTCTGGCAGCAACTCGAGTGTGTTGAAATATGATACGTTATAGTTTCAGGTGGAACTGTGCAAACAGATCAAAGTAATGCCATACAAATGTGTTGAATAGTTATAGTGCAGCTGGTTACGAAAAAGGGCAGAACCTTTTAAACGCAGGTGTGTCACTATTACTATTTAAGGGAAGACTGTGCAATTGAAATGACGCATGCGGTGATTTATGTTGTATCGTAGATCCGCTGACATAAGTGTTAAAGCCCACCCAAACCTCTCTACCTTCGGGAAAAAAAAAGGGCCTGCCTCAAAAGGGTTTCTTCTGCCAGTCCCCAGGGGGACCCCATTGGGGCTTAAGGGGAAAGGGACCCCTGGGGAATGAGATTTTGCCTGCTTTATCCATTTATCAGCCCCTTCAAAGGCCACTTGCAACAAAAAATTTTGGAATCGTTTTCGGTGGCCCTTTAACAATAGGACACCTGATTTTTTTCTTCGACGTCTAAGGGTTTTTTTTAGCCCCCTTTTCCAAGGGCCCTGGGACAAAACGATGGGGGGGCCGGTTTGGAAAAATTTGCTGTCCGCGTTTTTTTTTTCCCACCTTTTGGTGCCAAAAGGGTTGGCTTTGTTTTGTGCTACCAGGTGGTGCGAAAGGTTTTATCAGTGTTGGCCCGACTCTTCGTCATCAAAAAGGCGAGGTTCCAATATATTTACTAGGGGGACCTTTCCAGACTGGTTTGGGGGTTTGCCGTAACCAGTGGGGGCAAAGGGCCCCAAGCCTCTGGTTTGGATTATCCCCGACAAAAGGGCAACCAAAAAAAAGGGGTGCCTTACTTCGGGCGCTTTTGGACCCAAAGGTTTTCCCAAGCCGGGTTAACCGACATGACCGTGTGAATTTCCCCGACAACCCAAAGGCTCTCTTTAATTTCCAAATTCAGCTAAACCAAAAACCCTCTTAAGCCCCGGGCTTATCTCGGAAAGTTAAAAATTTTTCGGGGTGGTTTCCAAAACCTCACATTTCATCCCCCGACAGATCAGGAATGATCGTTTTTCTGGTGTAAGGGTTCAACTTCGATAATTTTCTTGGGATAAAACGGGACGGTTTACCATCCTTGTTTTCCCTTTTTCCTTTGGATCTTTTACACAGTTTTTCCCCCCGGGGCAACCCTCTCATATCCAAAGCTTTAAAAGCACTTTATTTAGGGGGGGTCAAAGGCCTTCCAAAGGCAGAATCCCCCCATCCCTTGTAGACCAAAGGGGCCCCGGGTACCGTTGATGGATTCATGCCACCTTTTTTTAAAGGGGACGACCGTTTGGTCCGAAAAGGGCCCCCTCGCATCTTTTTTGGGGGCTTTTTGTTGGTAAAAAGCTGGGCAAAAAGGGGCCCTTTTACCGGGGTAAAGATAAGGAACCCGTCGGGCTTGTAACACACCACCCAACCAACGTGGGGTTTCATGCGACTACCTCGATCGTTTTTTTTTCATCGAGCATTTCTTCCATGGGGCCCCTTTTAAAAGCTCCATCCTGTTCACCCTTACTCTACCATCTGGTACAAAGCCTGCCGTCAAAGGCTTCTTCTTTGCCAAGTACCACGGGACTTCCATTTGGACTGTAGATGGTTCCACTAGGACCTACTCTGGGACCATGAGATCCTTGACCTAGCTTTATCGGCAGCTTATCAGGTCCCTTCAAACGTTTGGCCATCTTTGTCAACAAGACACATTTTGGAATCTGTTTCGGCTGGCCCTTAACAATAGGACACCTGATTGGTTTTCTGTCGACGTCCAGTATAGGTTTGTTGTCACGTCCCTTCAAGGTGCCATCAGGACAAACACGAATGACGCCAGGTCTGATGAACTGCTTCCTGCGTTTTGGTTTATCAGCTCTTGGTGCTCTAGGATCTTGGTCTTTGGTTTTGCCTGGCTGACCAGGTGGTGCGAAAGGTTTATCAGCTGTTGCTGCACTAGGCGACTCTTTTCTGTCATCAGGTTTGAAAGGTGCTGATGGTTCTCCACCATATGATGTTGGACTGATGGGGGCGACCTTTCCAGGATCTTGGTCTTTGGGTTTGCCTAGCTCACCAGGTGGTGCGAAAGGTCCTAAGCCTGCCATGAGCTTCGGTGTCGATTCATCCCCGACAACCAAAGGCTGTTCCAAGCCAGGTTCCAAGCCTGCCATGAGCTTCGGTGTCGATTCATCCCCGACAACCAAAGGCTGTTCCCAAGCCAGGTTCCAAGCCTGCCATGAGCTTTGGTGTCGAATCTTCCCGACAACCAAAGGCTCTTCTTCCAAGTCCTTCAATTCGACTGACTCAACCATAACATCTTCAAGATCCGACATATCTTCGGAATCGTAGTACACCGGTTCGGTGGTGGTTGCTTCAACCTCATCTAGTTCATCCTCCGACAGATCAGAGAACTGATCGGTGTTGGACTTGTTGTACGGTTCAACTTCTGATAGATTTTCGTTGGGATACAACAGGACGGGTTTACCATCCTTGCCTTTTAAGGTCTTTCTCTTTGATCTAGTACACAGTTTTCACCGTCGACCATGGGCAAGCCCTCGTCAGTGACTCCAGCTTTCAGCACTTTGGATTTAGGATCGGTCAAAGGCCTTCCAATAGGCAGAATCACCATTCCCTTGTAGACCAGAGGCCCGGGTACCGTTGATGAGATTCATGCCATCCTTGTCTTTCAAGGGACGACCGTTTGGTCCGATCAAGGCTCCATCGTCCATCGGTTTTTGGGGCGTTTGTTGGTATCCAGCTGGGCATACAGAGGCTCCTTTGTACCGGGGTGAAGATAAGGCGACCCGTCGGGCTTGTAGGACAGCACCACCCCACACCCAACGTATGGGTTCATGCTGACATACACTCGATCTGATTTTCTATCGAGCAGTTTCTTCCTATCAGGCCCCTTTTTAGCTCCATGCCTGTTCACCCTTTACTCTACCATCTGGTACAAAGCCTGCCGTCAAAGGCTTCTTCTTGCCAAGTACCACGGGACTTCCATTTGGACTGTAGATGGTTCCACTAGGACTACTCTGGGACCATGAGATCCTTTGACCTAGCTTTATCGGCAGCTTATCAGGTCCCTTCAAACGTTGGCCATCTTTGTCAACAAGACACATTTTGGAATCTGTTTTCGGCTGGCCCTTAACAATAGGACACCTGATTGGTTTTCTGTCGACGTCCAGTATAGGTTTGTTGTCACGTCCCTTCAAGGTGCCATCAGGACAAACACGAATGACGCCAGGTCTGATGAACTGCTTCCTGCGTTTTGGTTTATCAGCTCTTGGTGCTCTAGGATCTTGGTCTTTGGTTTTGCCTGGCTGACCAGGTGGTGCGAAAGGTTTATCAGCTGTTGCTGCACTAGGCGACTCTTTTCTGTCATCAGGTTTGAAAGGTGCTGATGGTTCTCCACCATATGATGTTGGACTGATGGGGGCGACCTTTCCAGGATCTTGGTCTTTGGGTTTGCCTGGCTCACCAGGTGGTGCGAAAGGTCCCAAGCCTGCCATGAGCTTCGGTGTCGATTCATCCCCGACAACCAAAGGCTGTTCCAAGCCAGGTTCCAAGCCTGCCATGAGCTTCGGTGTCGATTCATCCCCGACAACCAAAGGCTGTCCAAGCCAGGTTCCAAGCCTGCCATTAGCTTTGGTGTCGAATCTTCCCCGACAACCAAAGGCTCTTCTTCCAAGTCCTTCAATTCGACTGACTCAACCATAACATCTTCAAGATCCGACATATCTTCGGAATCGTAGTA